GTATTTGAGACAGACCGTATGGTCCACAGAGCCAGAAATATTTGCTATCTGGCCTATTATAGAAAAAATTAGCCAACCTCTGGTCTATAGCAGTGGTTCTCAACCTAGCTGCAAGTTAGAATCTCCTGGAGGCCTTTAAAAAACTGCTGGTTGGGCCCCACCTCAAGAGATTTTGATATAATGGGCCTTGGGTGGGGCCAGGCATGGTTTTTGTTTTTTTAAGCTCCCCAAGTGATTCCCAGGGTTAAGATCCACTGGTCTAGATTAACTGAGAATGGCCCTGGTAGCCACAGAACTAAGACTTTGTTATCTGGCTCTTAGGAGCTACCGGAAGTCTATACTGAAAGTCTCTTTGGGTGGCTGGGAAAAAGAGTCATCCTTATCTGGTGAGAATTTGCTGGCCCATCCTAAATTCTTGGGTTAGGTGGTGGTAAAGCTTGACCTTATCAGCCAGCAGTCCTGCCAACATTCTTTCTGAGGCTCCAAGCCCATCCCACAAAGACTGTCTTCCATTGGTACTCTGTTGAGGGGTTTCTCATCTGCTCTCTTGGTTAGCAGAAGGGCTACAGGCATTCCATTCAGTCTTTTGTTTTCTTTCACGCAAGCGTGTTGGAGCAGGCAGGAGAAAAATGGATCAGGTAGCATTTTAAACGAGTATTACTCAACAAGCCTCAATCTTGAAGGTTGTAGCAGAAGATGCGTGTTTCCTGAGAAATAATCCCCTAATCTGTCCCGGAGAGAAAATAATTGGTTAGGATTTGGTGGCATCTTGTGTTATTTCTGTAGATCACCCCCAAGTGGCCTTATTTGATGGTTTTTTTTTTTTTCCCTTGCTCATAGTGCCTTAAAAAAAAAAAATCACCTTCCCTTTGCTGGCCGTAGTTGTTCATATATATGCCTCTCCTGTCACCCTGGAATCTGTTGGGGCTTGCCGGCCTTTCTCCCAGAGTCCTCCTTGCCTTCCTTGAGCAACTCCCAACAGCGCTGTTCCCTGGAGGCAGACACCCAGTCCTAAGGAGCAATCTGCCCCACGGCACGTCTTTGGAGTAGGACTGCTGGTCTTTTAAAGCATGTCATCTCCCTGGGGTGACGTTAGGTTCCCACAGCTCAGAGGAAGCCTGTACATGAGATAGACAGGGACAGGCACACAGACACATGTTTCTCCTTTTCAATAACACATAAAATTGAAGTCCAGAATAAGTACTAGGGTTTGCAGCATTTTGAGTGCTAAATACATAGGTCAAGTTCACTTGTTGGGCGATGGGCCTTGGGGAGCTGGAGGATCTTTCCTTCTTACGTAGGGAAAGCTAGTCTGATTAAAGGATCTTGGGCAGCTGACCTACAGGAGCCCAAATTTTAGACACAAATCCCTCTATGAATGATGGCATAATGTCAGTCAAGTCACTACGTACTGTCTTTTAATTTATAAAATGGGCAAGGAAACATAAGCGTCATCTCGCCTTCACAAAGATTTTATGAGAATAGATGAAATAAATGTGAAAGGCACCCTATAATAGCAAGGTTTAATAATTTACATTGCTGTGGCCCAGCTAAGCTGCAACCTTGTTATTATATCATCTGAAGCAGCATTATATGCTAAGCAGACTCTAAACTATTTAATAGCTCTGCCCACACAACTCTTCAAGAGAGAAGAAAGCTTCAGAGCTGAAAGTCTGGTCTTTATCATAAACCTTGAGATTGAAGACTTGTCTTAATAGAGGAAGATATTTCTTTTTCTAAATGTAATGGAGTGCGTGCTATTAAAAATGGAGTCTGGAGGACTCTGTAAATGGTTCTGTTAGACTTACGGACAGATAGAAGGAACTGAGAATTTTATTTATAAATTAAATTATATTATTAAAAGTGATGCCAGTGTTCACAACTCTCCTGAGCATTTGAAGATAAAATGTATTCACTGTCTTAGGTACTTGAGTGGGCTTTTCCTTCATCCCAGTCTTGGAATTTTTTTTTTTTTTTTTGAGACAGGGTCTTGCTCTGTCACCCAGGCTAGAGTGCAGTGGCATCATCATAACTCACTGCAACCTCAAACAACTGGGCTCGAGTGATCCTCCCACCTCAGCCTTCCAAGTAGCTGGGAATACAGGCACGGCACCATGCCTGGCTAATTTTTCTATTTTTTGTAGATATGGGGTCTTGCTATATTGCCCAGCCTGGTCTCAAACTCTTGGCCTCAAGCCATCCTCCCACCTCAGCCTTCTAAAGTGCTAGGATTACTGGCATGCCCGGCTTCAGTCCTGGAATTTCATAGAGACCATAGCAAAGGTAACGCGAATGGGATCAATAGAAGTAAAACCTATTTTATCATTTTGGATGATTTCACCTGTAACAGAGAAAACTAAATCCCATAGGCTTAGACAATAAGGAAATTCACTGTCACATAACAGAGGCCTCTGGAGGTGGGGTGGAGTCCCTCATAGGCAGATTTGGTGGCTAGGTGGTGTCATTGGTTTATCAGCTTCCCCGTCTAGGAGTGGGTACACGCCAAGTCTCCTGGTGGAGAGATGGCTAATCGACAACATCGGGGTTCTATTAGTTAAGGAGGAGAAATGGGAGAAAGGTTGCTGTGTACATAGATGTCTGACAGTATCCACTACACCTCCTGTGTATATTTCAAGTCTCTTCACTAATTTTTCCTATGAAATTGCACAGACAGAAAAATTGTGATGGTGGTGATTTCAGGTCATTGTTACTGATGTTTAACATTGCAGTTAACTTTGTTGAATTTTGGTGGTGGGGTTGCTTTCTACTGTTAATGGGAAAGATCCCAGGTGATAACTTGGCATTGTCTTTCTCCCACTGCAAGTTGACAAGTTGACACACGTGTTACGGTGTTGTGAGCCAGGAGTCAACAAGCCCCAGGCTCATAGCCTCAGTGGCATATTCTCTCCATCCCAAGTGGGAGGCCTTTTAAGCTCAGGTCTGGGAAACTTCAGTCCCAGGAGTTTAATGTGGAGATTTTCTTAAATGATTTGTGCTTCTTAAGGGCATTGTTTGAGATGTTGCTTTCATTACTGATCTTATTTATTTATTTATTTGCTTATTTTTTTAGAGACAGGGTCTCACTCTATTGCCCAGGCTGGAGTTCAGTGGCACAAACACAGCTCTCAACAGCCTTGAACTCCTGGGCTGAAGCAACCCTCCTGCCTCATCCTCCTGAGTAGCTGGGACTACAGGCACATACCACCATGCCTGGCTAATTTTTCTTATTTTTTGTAGAGACTGGGTCTCACTATGTTGCCCAGGCTGGAGTGCAGTGGTGCAAACATAGCTCACCACAGGCTTGAACTCCTGACCTCAAGTGATCCTCCCACCTCAGCCTCCCAGAGTACTGGGATTACTGATGTGAGCCACCAGACTCATTCTATTCATTACTGATGTTAAATGAAACCAGAGTCAGGCAAGATGGAAGATGTAGGATTTGGAAATAGGCAGTCTTATTTAAGAAATAATTCTGTTTTAAAAATATTTTACTCCCTGTCTTTGAGAGATTGCAATTCTAAGAAAATTTGAGATAAAGTTGGCAAACGTTTAGCTCCTCTAGTTATTTATTTCCAGTAGATTCAGTTGTTTGAAATTCTAACTCAATGGGCCAGAAATAGATTTTCCATAAAACTGTTGTTAAAATGGGAGATCTGACTGCCGAAATTAATTTTGGATGTAGTTCTAATTGAGGTTTTAAATACTCTTGCTGTTTAAGCTACTTGATGGCTTTGAGCCATCTTTTTCCAATATAAAATCAGGAAATGATTTTGAATTAGTTTCTAATTGTTGGCACCCAAGTTATCCAAATGACAGCCAGCCTTTGGTACCCAGACCAAAGGAGTAAAAGAAAGGATGCTGGCCCTACAGATGTGTCTTCTGAGCAGGTGATATTAATGGCACTAATCAGGAGGCAGATGACACCAGTGTGGGGAGATTCACAAATGAAGACAAAGGAACATTCCAGCAGCTGCAGAAGAAAATGGAAGCCAAGTTGCAGTAGTGTAAAAGCCCATGGCTTCAGAAGCCTAAAGAAAGGAGACAGAAACATCAAGAAAAAGCAATGCAGAGAAATGGATGGGCTGGTAGAAATTAGGAACAGCCACTCGCTGCTCCAGCTGCTGGAACACTGGAAAAGGCTTGCAACTCTCTGTGTGGACAGAAATTGGCTGACTGCGCCTAGTGTGTAAACAGCTCTGTGGGTCTTATTCACCCCTAGGTATTGGCTAATCATGAAAATGATGCCATGTCTATAAAAAGAGTTTAAACCATGTGCACTACACTGTTTAAGAAAGCGTTGAGCTATGTGATGTCTTTTAGCTAGCTAAACATCTATCGAAAACCAGCTGTGAGAATGAAAGTGGCAGTGCCTCACTCCAGTTTCCATGGGACAAACAACTTGGGGGCACAGCTTTTTCTCAAGCCTGCCAAGTACTGACACAATACTAGAAAGTTGTCTTTTTTATTTTACAGATATTTAATATTTTTTTTCTTGTGTCAAAAATTGTTCAACTGGAGAATATAGATGTGAAGAAAATAAAAATAAAATCATTCGTAATGCAACCACTGAGAATAACTACAGTTAACTTTTTGGTTCTATTTTTCCAATGACTTCTGTGTCTGTTTTTTAAAAGGAAGTAAAAATGGGTTCGTACTGCATATACTACTCACATATTAAGAACAGTTTTCTGTACTATAATCATACCTGCATATATATAGGGTGTTTAACTCTAGTAGTTTTGTAGTAGAACTAAACCAAGTTTTGATTTATCTACAGCCATGTGTTTTATTATATGGGATTATATGATAAAGTTCTGATGCAAAAATCAAACATCAAGAAGATTTGAGGATGTGAAATGTTAATTCTTTAGGAGCCAGTGCCCGCTCGTAAATCTGGGACTTAGAATTAATTATTTAATACAGTGCATCAGAAGTTCCTTATGCATATGTATTTATTTTAAAGGATCCATTATAAAATAAAATATCTTCTTTGTGTTTAGCATTCTCTGGATATTCAACAAATACAAAGTATGACCCACACCAAATTAAAGCAGAAATAGCAAGTCGTCGGGATAGGGTGAGTAAAACCAGTGTTTTCACAACTGGAAGTGCCACATGCATTTTTGTGTAACATCACTTATCATGGTTCATTTCATGGTAGTCAGTGTGCCTGATGCTCATATTTTAGTAAGATTTTTTATTTCATGGATTATTATTGCATTTTGTTTTATTTTCCACTTTTTCCCAATAGGAGGAAAAAGTTTTATTTTAAAACCTTAACTCATCTAACAAAAAGTAGCCTGTATCCCTGTGCATGTTTCATAGGGGTGGACTCACCAACCATTTGGAAGGGTTTAGTGACCACAGGGCTGGGTCTCACAGGGCTGCTTCCCCATGTCAGCAGGATGCTGCCGTGGCCCTGGGCAGCGTTGGAGCTGCTTTCTCCCCTGGTTCGCTAGTCCTAGAGGGATCGCTCCTACAGTGGCATTTGACCAGAAGGTCAATGCTCCTTCCCTGGAGACGCCTGAATTATTTATGGGTTACCTTGCTTCATCTCTTCAGAGCCTTGTCTTGGTTGTCTGGGAAGGGGGACACTTTTGTTTGCAACAAAGCAAACATCTGGCAGTGAAGCCTCCTCCTCTCCTGGTGTTTCGTTCCCTGAACGAGGGTATACCTTTTAGCGCGATGGCTCTCAAATTTTAGCGCACCTAGGAAAACACCTGGGGTGCTTGTTTGAAGTGTGAGATTCCAGGCCTACCCCCTGAGTTTTGAAGTCGGTCTGGAGCAGGTCCCAGAATCTGTTTAAATAAGCACTCCAGGCCCGGTTGAGTTTCAGGTAGTCCGAGACCACGCTTTCAGAAACAGAATTTCTTATGTGGGATCCCGAGTAGTAAGTAGAAGGAAAGATGAATAAAGTATCACAAAGTTTCCTAATTGTAATATGTAAATCATTATCTTGAAAAAAAAAATAGTTACTGGTTCCACACTTGAGTAGGAACCTGTCAGCAGTCTGGGATTATGTACGTGAACGGAAATTCATGAAGAGAATGGATGATCCACTGAATTGCAAGCCAATCAGAAACTTAGATGACAAAGCTACTAACAACTGTAGAAATAATTTTTCACAGCTTGTTTTTGGAAAAAAAATGTGATTTGTCTTTAGCTTTCCAGATTAAAGCGAGAGCTGACCCAAATGAAGCAGGAACTGCAGTACAAAGAAAAGGGGGTGGAGACCCTGCAAGAGTGAGTTGCCAGTGCTTACAGACCGAGCACTTTCCTGTGATTTCCTCTTGTCCTGACCGGTGTGGGACCTGGATACCAGTTTGAAAGCTTCATCACCCTCGCTTCTATGCCTTTATTTGTGCTCATTGTTTCCTAGTCCTAAGCATCAGAATCTCTCTTTTCCTTGATGATACTTCATTCCTTTAAATGGAAACACTTGGGAAACAAGACCTTTATTTTTATATTTATGCACATTTTCTATAGCTGCATGGTCCAAGACACTTATGTCTATTTACACCTAAATTTGGTTTTTTGTTGGTTTTATCCTCCTGAATTTTTTTATTCTAAAATTTAAATTTAAGTAAAAGAAAACTAAAAATTTAGTCTCAATAGTCACATGTAGCCAGGGCAGATTTTCTCCACCTTGGCACTAGTGACATTTGGATCATTCTTTGTCTTGGGGGAACTGTCCTGTGCACTGTAGGATGTTGAGCGGCATCCATGGTCTTTACCCACTAGATGCCAGTAGCACCCCCACCCCCATTATAACAACCAAAAATGTTTCCATACATTGCCAGGTGTCCCCTAGAGCAGCAGTCCCCAACCTTTTTGGCACCAGGAGCCAGTTTCATGGAAGACAATTTTTCCATGGGCAGGGAGCAGGGAGGGATGGTTTTGGGATGATTCAAGCCCATCACATTTATTGTACACTTTATTTCTATTATTATTACATTGTCACTTGCCACTCACTGTTAGGATTTTGATATGAGTCTGCAAGCAATTGATTTATTATGGTCTCCGTGCAGTCAAACCTCTCTGCTAATGGTAATCTATATTTGCAGCCGCTCCCCAGTGCCAGCATCACCGCCTCAGCTCCACCTCAGATCACCAGGCATCAGATTCTCATAAGGAGCGTGCAACCTAGATCCTTCCCATGCACAGTTTACAGTAGGGTTTGCGCTCCTATGAGAATCTAATGCCGCCGCTGATCTGACAGGAGGCGGAGCTCAGGCAGCGATGCAAGGGATCGGGAGTGGCTGTAAATACAGGTGAAGCTTCGCTGGCTCCCCGCTGCTCCTGCTGTGCGGCCTGGTTCCTAACAGGCCACAGAACAGTACTGGTCCACAGCCCAGGGGTTGGGGACCACAGTCCTAAAGGACATATTTGCCCCTAGTTGAGAACTTACAGTTGAGGCTACTGACAGCACAGGTGATAGATTTCTATCATCACAGAAAGTTCTTTTGGACAGTCCGGTCTGTAGGTCTTTCTCCTGTTCTCATCTTTACAATTAGAACTTTAGCCCCGCTAAGACTTTAGAGATGAATTTTTTATAATTAGTGAGCTATACTAAATCAGCAATTTTAATGAACTAAAGCTCTTTTACAAATGGCAATAGTATTGGTCTGAAAGAATTCATTTTCTTAATAAAGGGTATTGTCTGCTTGTTGCCCAAGTCACCCTCTCTTGGTTCACTGGCTTCGCTTGCTGAAGCTGGGCATGGGCTTCATACTTTCTGCGCCTACTTCTCTCATCTGTGAATGGTGATTGTCTTAGTCAGCTTAGGCTGCTATAACAAATACCGTAGACTGGGTGGCTTAAGCAAGGAACAAGCACAAGCAAATCACTTGATTTGACAGGTCATAAAAGTGACCAGAACTGCCTAGTTAAATTTTGAGGTTGATTTCCTACTGTCATTGGGCCACACCATAGCTGTCTCTCATTGCTCTATAGTGTCTGTGGATAATGTGTAGCTTTAATGCTAGGCATTGTGTATGCTGGAGGTTGCAGTTAATTTAATTCACACTCGGAGCAGCTCTGAGGAAGGTGACTGGGGTTCAGGAACGGTCAGGGTTTGCATGGGACCCCTGAATATCAGAGGGGAGCCATGCCTGGCACTTTTCCCTGCTGGCTGTGGCTTCTGTAGCGGGATTGCGGGCCCAGTGCCTGTTCCTTCACCTGAGCTCCATTATTCTTATGAACTCCATTTCCTTATTTGAAGACAAAGGTTATATTGCAATGTTAGCCTAAGACTGAATAATCTAGAAAATAAAATGTGCTAGTGACTGAGAAACCCCCCCTTTCCTTGGCATTGCTAGGAAGTAAATTCATCTTCTGCAGTTGCAGCAGTTTGAAGAATAGGAAAAGGCGGTCCTTGTTTCTCCAGGTGTGTTAGACCGAGAAGCAGAAGGCAGTACAGGAAGAGTTCTAACTTTACACCTGCAGTCAAATGGAGTATGAGTTGTGCTCCTGGAAGGCAGAAGGGCCAGTGCTGTTTGTATTTTCTTTCTGCTTTCATTATCAAGATCCCATGCGTGGGAGCAGTGATTGTAAACTTGCCCCTTGCCAAGAGGAGGCTTCTGGTGCCTGCCGGAGCTCTGAGGATGCCCGCCCTCCCTGGGGAGGCTGAGGAGTGGCATGCAGGAAGGCCCTGCACTTGGCCTTGGTCCTGAGGGGCCTATCCCTGGCAGTAGCCTCCCAGGCGCCCGTAGGTATGTTGCCTCCACTCTGTTTGATGCTATGTTGTCACTGCTCATGTTTACTTTATTCTGTGACATAGCCTCACTGGAAGAAGCGAAACACGGGCACTTCTGCCACCCTTAAAATTCTTTGCAAATGAAAAAAAGTCTAGTAGCCTTTCTCTGAGTTCCACAGGCTATAAGATGAAAACAGCCTCATTATTTTTTTGGTATTGAAACTTGGGCCTTTATGTTTGGATCAGATCATGCAAATTTATATCATTTATTGAGAAATTTCAAACACTCTTTTTAAGCATTGAAAATGTGATGATCCCACTTTTACTGTGAAATCCTGACTATAAGTACAGACAGCACTTGAGCTGTTGTACATAAACATGACGCTTCTCTGATTTTATTACCAACATCAATTTAAGGCAGTGGCCCTAGATTTTCCTCCAGAAGATTTTCTGCTGTTCTTGCTTCCCAGAATATCCAGTGTATTCTTTTTCAGAGCACCTCACCAGGAGTTTGGCCGCTTACAACATTTTAAACTTGACTTGTTTACCTTGGTGAATTTCCTGGCTAGCAAGGAAATCCATCGTTATGCTTGGATCCAAGTGAGGAAAAAAGAACCTTTTGTATTTTATTTTAAATCTGTATACATTGTTAATTGTCATAGAGGGGAGCTGGCCATGGATGCATTCTCTGAGTTAATGACGGAGCGTGTGCGTGTGTGTATATATGTGTATTATATACCGATACATATAAAAAGTATACATGTTGACTTTTAATGATGGCAAATGTCAAACATAAAAATAGAATAGTATAATGAAACCCTGGGGTACCCCTCACCCCATTTTACCCACACAATGGCCAATCTTGGTTCATCTGTGACCCTGCCCGACCTGCTGAGCTTTCACTGCCTTAATTGAAGCAAATCCCAGAATCACATTTAATCTATAAATATCTCTCCTAAAGTTATGGGCTCCTTTTGAAAACATAACTATAATGGCCATGCCCCACTTAATAGGCATCCTGTTTCCTGTGAACATTCCCATTTCTCTGGTTGTTTGGGTCCAGATTCAGATGAGGCCTACACAGTGCATTTGGGTGATGTGTCTCTTAAGTCTTTTAATCTCTGCTCCCCTCCTTTTTTTTTTTAATGACAGCTTATTTGTTGAAGAAACTAATTTGCTTGTCCTGTAGAATTTCCCTGATGTTAGGTTTTGCTGCTTGAATTCACGTGGTGAATTGAACATGTTCCTCTGTCTTCTGTTAGTTGTGCAAATGGGTGTAATTAGTTTGAGAGGATTGATCTGATTCAAGTTTGATTTATTTTTCTTTTATTTTTTTTTCCGTAAGAATGTTTTATAGGAAGTGGTGCTGGTGTTATTTCCGTCAGGAAGCCCATACTCTCTGGTTGTCTCTCCGTGGTGTGACGATTATTGGTGGGTTCTGGCCTTGCTGGCTTGATGCTTCCATTTATCATGTTTCCCATCAGTTTTTCACCTCATGTTGTGCATATGTATCTTTCAGGATAAGTTCCTCAAAATGGGCTTGCCGGGTGAAGAAGTGAATGCATTTGTGGTATTACAGGTTGACTATTAAGGAATAGTCAACCTTATGCAAAATGCTTGGGACCAAAACGTTTCAGATTTTAGATTTTTTCAGATTTTGGAATATTTGCACTATACTAAGTACTAGTGCCATATCCCTAATCTGAAAGTCTGAAATCCAAAATGCTCCAGTGAGCATTTCCTTTGAGCATCATTTCAGCACTCAAAAAGTTTCAGACTTTGAATCACTTTGGATTTTGGATTTTTGGATTAAGGATGCTCAACCTATATTGGATATGGCCAAATTCCCCCCTCTAGGGATTGCATCGTTTTGCATTCCTGCCACTAACATATGAGTTTTCACTTCTCCCATAGCTTTGCCAACAGAATGTGTTGATAAGCTTTTACATTTTTACCAGTCTCATAGGTAAGAGATAGTATCTCAGTGTAATTGTAATTTGCATTCCTCTTGAGGCCCTTTATAAAAGTCTTCAGAAAATAGGAGCACCTTTTACCATGAGTAATTAAAATTTTCAGAAAAATTGAGCCTACCAGTGAAAGATCTGCTGGACTCTGTTGCCCTGAAGTTTCTGAAGGTGGTTTTGAAAAGCTACCTTAATGTAACTTATCACTAGTGTCCCGAGGCAAAGGGAAGGACTCAGAACCAGGATGTATACAGGGTTTCCAAAATGGGTGATCCATGAGATCAGGCTGAGCACACCAATAGATGTGGGCAGATTCACCTCACAAGTTTCCTCCTGGAGATCTAGAATATTCCTTGTGTTAGATTCTGAGTTGTCCTGCAGCAAGGAAGCTCATTTAACATTGCCTCACCCTGAGTTTCTCATGATTATGGGACATTGAAGCCCTTTCCTGCCATGACACCTATCACGTCCCTGAGCACTGGCTCAATGGCAGATGACGCTTTGCGGGAACACTGCCCTGACTGCCTTGTTAGTACATCCATCCATCATGGTGTGATGTTTCCACACCCGGCACCTGATCCTTC